TGACCCTGGACAAGTCACCTAACCTTCCTCTGCCATCATCTCCCTCACAGGGTTTTGTGAGGATCAAATGTAACAGGTAAAGTGCTATGTAAATACTAGCTATTGTTATTGAAGTTCACAGTTCCATCAGCTCAAGAGTTCTGAACTGTTATCTCCCTGCCTGCTCTGGAACTCTGTATTTCCAGTTGGAAATTGGCATTTCCAAATCCCAAGTCTTCATAGGAAACAGGAAGCCACATAAACATTCCCACCTCATTTTATATAGACTTAAGATTTTGTTCAGATTGTTTTAGTTTTGTTTTTAATTCACATGCATTTTCTTTCCCCACCTTGAAAAAGAAAAAACCCTTAGTCAAACAAAACAAACTCCCACATTAGCTGTGTCCAGAAATAAGTACCTTTTTATGCATTTGGAGTCCATCACCTCCCTGGTAGGAGGTGGGGAGCATAGTTGATCACTGGTCTTGTTAGTTGGTAAGAGCTGGAAGGAATCTAGTCCAACCTTCTAATTTTTGCAGTTCAGGATCTGAGGCTGAGAAAAGGGCAGGGAATTCCTAAGTTTACCCAGTAACTAATAGGGCCCAGGATGCAACCCCAGATCCTGTCATCTTTCCTTTAAATTATGGTGTCTACCATGTAGTTAGAATGTGTTCTTCCCCCTGGGTCCCCATTTCCTTTTTATTCCCTACACTTATCAATTTCCCCAAAATCTTACACTTGAAGTACCTAACAGAAAGCAGGGAAACAACCAGGAGGGCTGGAACTGGTACCTGGTAGCCCCCAAACTCTAGCATGGAGTTTACTATTGGAATGGGATAGGAGTCTCTCACCTGAGTTTCATAAATATTTGTTTTCTAGTTGACTCAATCACTATCGCTTGTATATATAAAGTTCTGTTTAGAGCCTTTAACACTAAGCTGAAGGGACCCCAGCCCAAAAGAACCCTGGCTGTGTGGGGTGGCAGGAGGCACTCCTGCAGATATTGGGCGCTGGGGCTGGGGTTTCCTGAGCTAGAGATAGCATAGGACTTCATTACCAGAGAGCTGTTAATTCAGAACTTCCCTTCCAGCCTCAGAATCTTCTAGTTGGAAGAAACCTCTGAGATCATCTAGGTCAGTGCTTTTTAAACTGGGAGTTGTGACCCCAAATGGGTCACTTTTAAAAAGCACTGAAGGGGTTGTGAGTGGAAAAAGTTTAAGAAGCTCTGAACCTAGGCCAGTTCCAATCTTGAGTAGGATTCCCATCGTTCACAACCAAATCAATAAACTTGGGTTTCAGATTACTGGGCTAGGTATGGGAGGAGATTAAATAACAGGGAGTTGAGGACGATCCTTGGACGGTTACATGTAATATTTGTCTTCGTGATACAACAGGTTCTGTTCTTTGGCTTTTGCCCTGACTTGGTCTCGACACTCCTGGACCTTCTTATGACAGCTCTGACACTTGGTCACCTCATCTCTGTTGGAAGATAAGGCCCTTGCCAGTCTCCAGGTAGCCCTCTCTAGCGTCTTTGAATCCTTCTGGTTGTTAAGAAGTTTTTCTTCCTGTCCCACCAAAGTCCCTCTCTCTAATGGTAATTCATTGCTTCTGCCTGTCCTTTAGAACCCACAGAGAACAGCCCTTGTCCACATGACCAGATTACCTGAGGATTATGTCATGGCCTCCCCCAAAATGTTCTCTTCCTCCAGGCTAAACAAAGCACCTGCTTTCAGCCACTTCTCTTGGAGTGGCTTTTCTGGTTCCCTCTTGTGGTTGCCCTGATGGATTTTCTCGTTTGTCCTTCATGAATGTAATGGCCAGAACTTGGCACTTCAGGTACTCAGAGGACAGCAGGAATGCTGACTCCTTCCTATTAATGTCGCTCTTAGATTCTTGGGCTCCTTTGCCATGGCTTTGTTTTTGCCCTTTTAATTCATTCACCTCATCACACAGCTGCAACTACTCTCCCCAAAGTGACCAACAGTCTTTCCTCAGTTCATTTTAACCTGCATTTGGCATTGCTGACCCCACCACTGCCTTCTGGGTGCTGTTTCTGTCTCCAGGTGTGTGTGACATTCCTTTCTTCTATTTCTCCTACTTGTCTGATTGCTGCTTTGCTCTCTCTCACTGGCTTATCTTCCCTAAAACTGAACTTGGCTTTTTCTCAGATCTTCCCTGTTCTCTATTTGCTGGTTTCTGTCAAAGGCACCACTCTCCTTCCAGTGTCCCTAGTTAGTAATCTTAGCATTATGCCTTGCTCCGCATTCTCCCTTGCCTCACATATCCAGGCAGGTACCAGCTCTTGTCATTTCTGTCTCTGCAGCATCTCTCCAATCCAGCCCTTTCTCTTCACTCACAAAGCTCACACTCTAGTTCAACCCCCTCCTAGCCAGTTGGTCTCCTTTCATCCCTCTGCCTCTAGTCCATCCTGCACACTGATCTGACTGTGTGACTGGCCTAGTCCACCTTGGTGGCTTCTCATGGTCTCTAGGATAAACCATAAACTTCATCTGTTTAGTTAAGGTCCTGTGCACCCAGGTCACGGCTCTCTATGGATGTTACATCCCCTCTCACATTTTGTGTTCTTCCCTCACAGCACTCTCATCTGGGCATTGTTTCCTGACCTCCATCTTGTAGTTCCTCCCCTCCCTTAAGATGCAGCTGAAGAGGCGGCTTCTGTACAAAGCCCTTCCTGTAAAAATGAGGACTTGGCAACCTTATTCTGCATAAAACAGCTCTTGTTATTATTTATAATATTAGTTTAGGTATTATCTCACCCCTCCCTCCCCTTGCCTGGTACAATTAGATGTTTAATAAAATGCTGATTGATTGATTCAGCTTGTAATCTAACAACAAAATTTTTTTTTTTACAGTAACTTGTTTAGCCATGCTGCCCCCGATTGTACTTCAAACATTTCAGATTTTCCATCCCCACGCTACACCCCCTTTTGGCCAAGGGTGAGACTTCCTATGTATTTCTAGTGTGAAGATATTGGGAGATTTCTTCCTCTATTTGGAAGAGCACAAAACCTTTGAGTCTACCCTGTACTGCCTTCTCTCAGCCTAAGGCATCCTTAGAATTTAGGCAAACTCCCATCTGTGGTCCACATACAGTCGTCTGTCCCATTAAAAGGCCTTGCCTCTTGTTTTCCATGGAATGATGACAAGCTTGGCCTTTTCTCCAAAGGCAGTCTCAGACAGTCAGTGGGAAATGTCTGCCTACAAACTCTTGACCCCTCTTTTCTCTTGCCTGTGTTGCTACTCCCTTCTTCCCCCCCACTCCTTGCCAAATTAACAGCCTGTGTGTCAGGCTGCTGGGAAGGTAATGAATATTTAAAGGCCTCGCACTCACACGAAGCAGCTTGTCTTCAGCAGCTGACAAGTGGGTCAGATTGGGGTTTTTTATTGCTGCTCTCCATGCTCTCTGTTACCAGTTCTTCCAGAACCAGGCTGAAAGGGCTTAAGGCTTTCCAAGCCAAGTGGCTTCAGTTAAAGCACAGACATCCCAGAAGAGAATGAATTAGGTAAATATACTGATGCCAGATCCTGCTTTCATTAAAAAGGCCAATTTTTTCCTTCTCCTGCTATCCAGTCAGGGCGGTGGTTAATTGAACACAATCCTTTTTTTCTCCCGAGTAGTTATGTTTGAATGTTGGGCTGAAATATCCACTCTCCTTTGTCAGGAGGCAGCTTCCCATGCTCAGATCTGCAGTTTGAGGGTGTCATTCATTTGGTTAGTGTCCCTAAAACATTAAATGTATGTATTAGTGTAAAACACCAAAGGAGGACCCTCCCAAGGAGGGAGACTGCCCTAGAAACATGTTTTCTTTGCCCCAGGGCCTGGTTTCTCCTCACAAAATCTGATTCTAAGCTGACTTGAGCTAGACTTCATGCATACTTTTGCCTTGTTCTTCTCTGGAGTGTCCCAGTGTCCATCTTGTCACTGGGGAATTTTCTTTCTCAGATTTAGAAAAGTTAGTTTGGTTTTGCTTCTGTTAAAAAGCAGCTATAGGCTTTCAGCTGTCTCAGGCCATCCTCAGCCGTCATAGCTTTGTGGACACTAGAGGTCTCTTGCTTGAGAAAGAGAGTAATGGGGGGAAGGGGTGTGTGGAGCCTGAGGAGAAGATAATGCCAGAAATAGTGACTCTGGGCTTGAAGCATTTCACATTGTTCTGGGCGTGTTGGCATTATGTAGACCGAGAAGGGGAGACTTTGGCTGCAAAGTTCAGGTATTAATTGGGCCCTACTGGGTCTCATTAAACTTCCCGCTAAGTGAGCCTCCTTTCAAGGCTCGATAGATAATCGGAAGGTCTGTGTCTGCTCTGTACCACCTGCCTGTGGTAGACTGTAGTTTCAGGCGCTCACTGACGATCTGTTGGCAGAGCATGTCATCCTCCATCTTCCTGTTTGCAGAAAGAAATGTCTGGCCTTTGATTTTTAAGACTTGTTTTTGTTTGTTTTGTTCTTGCTGGGTGTGGAGAGTGACTGACTAGGCCACCAGCTTCTCCCACTCCCCACTCGTGCTCACAGTCTGATGGCCCAGAAAACCCTGCAGTGTCAAAAATCAAAAGGGTTTTAGAGATCTCCTTTGAAGTAGCCCAGTCTCATTCTCCAGTCAGAAATCAATCCCCCTCTATTATATTCTTAACAGATGGTCCCTGGTTAAGCATGTCCCATGATGAGGCACTCATTACCTAGCAGGGTAGCCTGTTTCATGGTTGGTCAGTGCTAATTGTCTTACTAAGCTAAAATGTTTACAACTGTTACTCCTAACTGTATACACAGGGGTCAAAAAGAGTAAGTCTTGTTTTCTTCTGTGTAATATCCCTTCAGATACAGGAGACAGTCCTGGCTGTACCCATGTATTCTTCAAGCTGAGTGCCCCTTCCCACCCTATCCAGTTTCTACCACCCCACTATGTACAGTGTGGTTTTATCGCACTCTAGGATGTGCACCTGCTTGTCATTATCTTGAATTAAAATGTTCTCAGATTTGGACGGTACTTCAGCTCTCAACAAGCATTCCATTCACTAATCATTTATTAAACAATGCAAGATAAGGTACGAGATACTAGGGGTGCCAAGACAGACTGAAATCATCTCCTTAGGGGCTTTCATTCTCTGGGAGATGAAAACATTCTCAGAAGTGCAAGAATGGTTGAGGAAGACAGCACTTAAAGTGGATGAATCAGGCAAAGCTTCTTGTGGAGGGCGAGCCGGGGCCCAGGAAGCATCGCAGACCCACGAGAGAGTTTAAGCTTCCTCTAGCAGATGACAGAAAATAAGGCATTGGGAAGCAAGACTTGGCCCCTGCACGTCAGCTATCAGATCAGGTCTGTGGCAGCTGTTGTCTCCTCTTCCCATGGCCTCCCGATGGTACAAGGTGAGGTCTGAAGGCCCTGGAAACTCTGAGCATACATAACGAAGGAGGGGGAGGCATCCTGCCTATGTTGCCACCACCCCCCCAAGGGTGGTTAAAGTAGCCGTAGAGTCTGTGAAGTCAGAAGGGACCCCCCCCCATTCCCCCAACTGGGTCTCCAGAGCTACTCGAATAGATGGAGATACTTCAGGATACAAAGACCTCTTTTTAATCAGTAGTCTGCATCGGGTGCTCAAGTAAACAGTAAGGTAGTAAGTGCCTACTGTGTGCCAAACCAAATACTGGAGTTCGACAAGAAAGACCAAAGGAGTCTCTGTCCTCAGAGAGTTCAGTCTGATTAATGGGGGAGACCTCATGTCAGCAGCCATGGTCAAACAAGATGTATGCAGCTGTATATGGCATCAGAGGGAAGGCCCTACACTGAGGACTGCGAAGGGCTGACGTGGCGAAACAATGAAGATGCCTGGCGTCCCTGGATCAGAGAGGACGTGGAAGGGAGGGAAGAGAATGCTGCGCTTTGAGCCAGGGGACCCGGACCCTTTGACACCCCCTGGGTTAAGTCCTTTTGATTCAGCTCAGTTTCTTCATCTGTAAAGTGGGGATGGTGATATTTATATTCCGTAGGGTTGCTGTGAAGAGAGCACGGTGTAAGAGGGGTACAGAAAATGGGACCGTTTGTTGGCATCAAATATAATTTAAGTAGGAGAGCCAATTACTTTATGGTCTCCCAGGCCCTGGGATTTGGGAAGTCCTGCACTGGACTTCTGTTTCCTTCTGAGCTGACATGGGGGAGACAGATGTTCTTATTGATTTCTTGTCTTGTGTGTTGGCAGAGAGCAGAGTCACTTCTTGGGGAGTGGAGGAACTCGAGGTGCTGCTGCATGGCCAGATGGACAGCATTCTTCCCTCTCACCCGCCAGGCCCAGCTGAGATGGACTGAGGAGAGGGGAGCCACCTGAGATGCCTGATCGTGGATCCCCTCCCATCCTGCATCCCCTTCTAGACGTCGGGTCAGACCACCCCTGGAGTCGTTAGGGCTTGGGCCAGACAATGTTGAGGACCCGTTTCATGGGAGCGTTTCCCCCCAGAGAGCTGCCAGGGGTAGAGTTAATGAGCTATCCCAGCAGGGGTGGGGTACATGCCAACCCAGTGTAATCAGTGCTGCCTCTGAGGCTTGCAGATATGAATAAACCATGCTGGTCCTGCCATGTGTCTCTTCTCCATGCTCATCCAGCCTCTAGCCACTGTCAAGGGGGCTTCGGAGGAGGGGGCTTTAAGCCAGGTGTGCTTGGCTTAAATGATAAGATTTAGAGTTGGGAGCGATTTAGAAACTACTAACCTTGTGGCCTTGGGCGAGTCACTTCCCTTGAGCCTCAGCTTCCTAATCTGTAAAATGAGGCTTTGGACTAGGTGACTTCCAAGTCCTTTCAAGGTCCAGATCCATAATCCTTTGACTTCAGAGAGCTAGTTCAGTCCTCTCATTTTACAGATAGGGAAACTGAAACCCACTTTGACTTGCCCAGCGCCCCACAAATAAGTACAAAGAGGATCAATTTGAACCCAGGTGTTATGTTTCCAAATCTCACCCTTTTCCCACTCTACCATTCTGCCGTGAGCCTTTTGGGTTTTCCCATCCACTTTTCTTGTCCCAGGAGGGCTGATCCTTTTGGCAGTGGCGTATAATTGTGTCAGCAGGAGCCTGCCCAAAGGACAGGAGAGACATAGGGCAGCCAGAGTAGCCTCATTTGTTGAGTGGGGTTCGGAAGAAGGCTGGCTGTGTAGGGTCAGCTGCAGGGGAGCCCAGTCATCTGGAGGTCTAAAGATTGGGATGGAAAGCTGGATGGTGCCTGGGAGGAGGGAGGATGATCTACTCTATTGCTCACCTTTATCCTCATTTGTCAGATGATTAAAAAATAACTCCCATTTTATTACCTTCTCTTTGTATGACCTTAGGTAAGTCACATAATAGCTCTGATTTCCTCATGAATGGAGAGGTTGGGACCAGATGCCCTAAGGTAAATCTATGATCCTATAATCCCAGAGAGGTTCAGGACCTGCCCTAGTGAGTAACATGGCAGGGCTTAGAAGCCTAGGCCCCAGACCCCTAATTCAGCCCTCTTTCCACTGCACTTGGGAAGTTGATTTTAATAGGAAGCAACATGATGTAGTGGTAGAAGCACTATAAACTATAAAAATGGAAGTTAACCACTAGGGGCCAGCCTGTGCTGTCTATTGGGGAGAGGGATTCAAAGACACAGTCCCTGTCCTCAGAAGTTCCTAGTATGATAAATAGGAATAAATGCCATAGAAAAGGTAAAATTTAGGGGCAGCTAGGGTGGCTCAGTGGATACAGCACCGGCCCTGGAGTCAGGAGAATCTGAGTTCAAATCCGGCTTCGGACACTTGATACTTACTAGCTGTGTGACCCTGGGCAAGTCACTTAACCCCATTGCCTAGCCAAAAAAGAAAAGGTATGACTTCAAATTAGACAATTTTAGAAATCGGACACAGTGATTGCCTTCACTGAAGGAATCGAGGCAGACTGAATTCGTGGAGGAGGCATCCTTGTACCTGAGTAAGGGAGCCCCTTGCATCCCCTGGAAGAAGTGCCCGATGAGATGATTAGAGTTTGGGAACACTGTGTTACATTTGGGAAGTTAGAAGACTTGGGTTTGAATCTTAGTTCTCAAAGTGGGCAAATCACGACTTCTGGGCCTCCTAGGTAAAATGAAAGTGTCATGATCTCTAAGGGACCCTTCAGCCCAAGAACCTTATGGGGGCTTGTACGACTGCTTTCTCCCCCGGCCACGGACTTAATAGTTTGGTCAGTGACTCATTCCTGTGTGTCACTGGACATTCTAACATGGCACCTCTCAACCCTGCTCCTAGGGCCAGCCGTGGAGACTGGCTGAGCCTTTTACTCCTAGCCTCCACCTCTCCATTTTCTGCTGGGTAAAGCACCTTTACTAGAAGAGGCTAAGGCCTGTGCCAGCTCCCTTAGCAGGAGCGAATTTGGTTTTGGAGGGATCTGGTTACAGCTTGGTCTCTGGGAGTGGAGGGGAGGTGGTTGATGTGGGTAGGCTCCATATTTCCATGATAGGTTTGGGAAGGTGGTTATCCTTCACCTGAAAGCAGCCCTGAGGGCCAGGGACCTACCTACCTGTTAGTACTTCATTCTGGGATGGCATGTTAGTGCTCCATGGAAAGAAGTGTTGGGCACAGATCATTCACAAATCATAGCAACCTTACAAAAGTGTTTGTACAGAGTTTTCCTAGAGAGGACCCTACGAGGTGAATAGTTCGAATACTAACTTTTCAAATGAAGAAATTGAGACTTAGAAAAGGTCTTTTCATTCAGTCGGTCACCAAGCATTTATAAAGCACCTGCTGTGTGCCAGTCTTGGAGCTAGGTCTTGGAAATGCAGACAAAAACATAACGGCCTTTCCCTTCAGGCAATTTACATTTGACATTCCCATCTTAAATCCTGTGAGAACTCCCACTTCTGTAGCTTCAAGAATTACAAAGTACTTTTCAGTACAGCCCTGTAAGAGAGGCATTGAAAGTCTTAGGAGCTGCAGGTTATAGATGAAGAGAATTAATTGTGACAATAAATAACCCTTCCTAGTCACAATCTCAAGCTCTTTCTCGGAGGATTTGGTCTGCCGGTGAGGTCTGCCTGTTCTGGGCATCCCCCAAGACTGAGAAGTCCTGTTCCTGGATCCCCTGGAACATGAGGCGACTAAACTAATTTGGAAACCACAGCTTGGGAGCCCCCCTCTCTATTCATTAATAAACCCCTTTAACCATTAGGGATAAGAGAGGAGCTCCCCTCCCCTTTCCTTTGCCGCATGAGTGAGTCTGAGGATGTTACTGAGCCACAAATATTTCAGTTCAGGCTTTCTCAGGGCGTTACCAGGGTGATGAGCTGGGGGGGTGGGGGTGCTCCTTCCCAGCTGCCCCTGGGACTGGAAGGATGGCAGCTCCCTCCCCATTAGGGAGCTTGCTTTAGGCTTGTTTTTGCCGGTGGGTCAACCCCAGGCATGGGGGATGGGTCGTGACTCGGAATAGCTCTGGCCCCGATCCACCTGCTTCCTGCCACTGTTGCCTAGGCCCCCCTCCAGGGCCCCAAAGCATCTCGGATTGCCAAAGCTGGGCCCAGCTGTGTTGGTGAGGAAGGACAAAGGCTATACCAAGAGCAGGGGCTTCGCCAGTACTAGGAAGTGAGGAAATGGGCAGGTCTCACCCTTCACTTTTCCCCAAAGCCTGAGAGGCAGTCGGCTTTGCCCCGAGCCCCCAGCACTTGTAGTACACCTGGGCCAGCATCTTCTGAAGATGCCATATTGATAAAACAAGAAAAGTGGGCCAGCTGGCCTAGGATTTGGGATGACCTGGGTTCAGTTTGTCTCTGACTCACAGGAGCCAATCGCTTAAGCTCTTAAGTGCCCCAGGCAGTTAAATTACTGATGAGTTGGTGGTTTGTATTTACCTGCATTGGTACTGGGACTTTCCCCACTCTGAGGCTGTCGGGAGCTCCCTCTTTAACATTTTGCAAACTGCATTCCTTATGAAGGGCCAGAAGAGGTGAGTATTCATTATCCTTACTCTGCAGAGGAGAAAACGAGAGAAGTGACTTGTCACCACAGAGGTTGTTAAGGGTGGAGTTGGGATTTGAGCCCAGGACCTCGACTTCCAGTTCCATCCACACTCACCCCTCAAGTGTCCAAGCTGGAATTCATCTTGTCTCAGGGGCGTTCAGACTGAGCATTTGGCCCTACATCCTCGTGCTGGTATACATAACATCCCCAAGCTGGGCCTCGGGCCTTTTCCAGAGTTCTCATTACTCAAAGCCAAGTTCTTCAGGGACCTTGGTCTGCCAGGATTCTCAATGCTTCAGTCCCTTAAAGGAAAAATAATGAATGACTACAAGCCCTTGAAAGTATCTTTCATACTTCCATAGACCGTTAACATCTGGCCTGCTAGAAGACAGAGGTGGTGAGTCTTCCCCCCTCAGAAGCTGTGCCTTCTGTCTAGCGTCCTAGTAGTGCTAGGGAAGCTATGAGAGACAGACTACATGATGAGGATGAAGGGGTGGGGCTAATAGGGACCATTCCTGGCTACCCACTGCCCTCTGGTGGCCAATACATGCACTGCACAAGATCTGGCTTGCCCTCCATAAACCAGCAGACTTAAAAGATCCTGGGAAGACTTACCTACTGGCTGTATGACCCTGGGCAAGTCACTTAAACCTGTCTTGAAAAGGAAATGGCAAACCGCTCCAGTACCCGGGCCAAGAAAACCGCAAATGGAGTCAGAGTCAGACACGACTGAACAACAACAAAATTCTACATAGATCTCAAAGTTTCATACCCTACTGTTCCTACTGCTTGTCCCCATCACCTCTTTCTTAGTCCTATTCTTAGGCTATGTAACCTCCTAATCTCACCTCTGTTCAATTTGACAAATATTAAGTACCTATTGTGTTTATTCCCTCCTAAAATTACTTTGTGTTAACATCAGGTATAATATTTGCATATCAGCCTATGTCTTACATGGACTAGTAGACATAAGTTCCTTGCAGACCACAACTGCCTAGCAGCCTGCTTTTCCACATAGTAAGTGACGAAGAAACGCTTGTTGACTTCCAGTAGTTTACAGTCTGTGGGGCAAGGCAAGACTGCATAGTAGGAAGAGTACTGTATTGAGTCAGGGGACCTGGCTTCAGACCCTAACTCTTGCTCCCCTAAAGTAAGACAAGCCATTTAACTTGCCTCCTTTGCAAAATGTGGTTGTTGGCCTAGATTATCTCTATGATCCATCCAGTCCAGTTCAGACATTTATTTTTCATTGTGTCCAACTAGATTAGATTGTCCAGTATGTTGGAGGTCAGAAACATCTCAGAAGGGAAGGATCACTTCTAGTTGGGGAGGTTCAGAGAAGGCCTCCAAAACCTTGACGTTCTACATCTTCTAAGTGGCCTCAGCCCTAATTGTCCGGTTGGTGAGCTTGAGCTTCAGGTGACATGTATGAGGTTGGTTGGTTTATTACACTTTGAAGGACAGTTCCTAGAGGAAGAAGCTTGAATGAACGATAGTTTCTATTATGTGGGTCCTGAAGCCTATGACTCTGCCTCTCTGGGATTCTTCGCCTCTAAGGGAAATCCTCAGGGGAAGCAAAATTGAGATCATAGTTCTCTTCCTATGACCCTGGTGGCTGAGTGGTCAGGCGACTGGTCACTTCCCTCCCCACCCCCCCTCCCCTTCCCATAGGATCTAGGGATGTGATTTCAGAGGAAAAGAGAGGTAAGTTTTCCTGCCCCAGATGATATTGAGAAGGGGAGGGGAAACTGGCCTCCAGCTAAGGGACAAGAAAGCTGGGAAGAAAAACTCAGATGCTAACAATGGGTGTTGTGTTAGCACCCAATATATCATTTTAAACAGGCTTCTTTTGTGTGTGTGTGTGTGTGTGTGTGTGTGTGTGTGATGATCTGTGGCAATGTGCCTCATTCTGAGTGCCGTGTTCAAAGAAGAACATTGGGGAAAGTCAGGTGTATCCAGAGAAAGGTGAGGGGATGATGGGGGTGGGGGGAACCTTCCACCACTGTCACATGAGGAATTGGTTTAAGGAACAGAGAAGACTTAGGAAGAGGACTTGAAAGGGCTGAGAAAAGAGATAAGAAGGACCAAGGTGTGGAAAGTCAGGGGGAGGGGACATCTCAGCTCCACATATGGCAGAATTTCACAACAGACGTAATTAATCAGGCAACCAGAGAATACTTCCCTTTCACTGGAGGTATCAAAGGCTGGGTCTGTTAGGGGTGCTCCATGCTTCTAATGTCCCTTAAAGCAGAGTCAGATTCTTAACATTTTATGTGTCTTGGACCCCTTGGGCACTTTGGTGAAAAGCCTACAGACCCCTTCTCAGAACAACGTTTTTAAATGCATAAAATAAAATATGTAAGATTACAAAGGAAACCAATTACATTGAAATAGTTATCCAAATAAAAAAAGAAAAGTTGGATCCCTGGTTAAACCTCACCCTGCACAAAGGCTCAGACTGCCTTCCCTACTGATGAGGAAAGGGCTGGGGGGGTCTCCTTTGCAGAGTGCCAAAATAGAATCCTAGTGGGTATGAACTGGCAGAATTGAAGCCTGGGAGGCAGGAGATCTGGGTTCTAGTGCTCCGTTCTGCCGGTAACTTGCCATGTGACCTGGGGCATAATCCCTCAGAATCCTAGATTTAGAGCTGAGGAGGGCCCATAGACACATCATCTGGAGACCAGCGCTTTAGTTTTACAGAGGGGAGAAACTGAGGCCCAGTGAGGGAAAAGGATTTTGTCTAGGTCACACGGGGTGTGAGACAGGAATCGGGTACTGAGTCCCCAGGACACCCTTAAAGAGGGCAGGACGAGATGGTCTCCAGAGACTTCTAGTTTATTCAAGCTATGCCTCTGGGGCTTGTGGAGAGGGTAAGAAAAGAAGACGAGGAAAGGAGGGCCTTTCACCAGGCTGCCCCCTGTCGCCCCTTTAAAGCGCGCCCCCGCCTCGCTTCTCTCTCCCTCCCTCCTATGCAAATGAAGCATCAGCGCGGGGCGCGAGAGCGCGCGCCTCAGGCCCAGGCACGGGGTTGCGGTAGTTTGTCCCCTCCCGGCTGCCGTCGCCGCCGACATATTGTCCGCAAGAGCGGCGGCGGCGGCGGCGGCGGCGGCGGCGAGGGCGAGGGGAGCGCCGGGGGAGGAGATGGGTGAGTGGTGCTGAACCAGGGAGCAATGGACCGGGCTAGGTTAGGCTAGACTAGGGCTGGCTGGAGCGGAGATGAGGACCTTGGGTGATTGGAACACCGAACCGCCGCCCTCTTCAGACCCGAGTCTCGCGCCGGGTGTCGGGAGAAGGAAGAAAAGGGGAGGGGAGGGGAAAGAAGGGAGGGGGGCGTGCTTCTCCAGTACGGGGTGGGGCTTAGATGGGGTGGGCGGGGCCTCTAGAGTCCCGGCGGCAAGAAGGTGGGGGGGGTTGCTGGCCGCTGGGCGGGGCCTCCGGAGGGGCGGAGCTTCGATGCTGGTGTTCCAAGGGGGCGGGTGTTCCCGAGGCTGCCCCCTTCCGCCCGCTTGCCTCCCGTGCCCTCCGGGCTGCTCACCCGCTCATGGTTCTGCTCTGTGTTTGGGAGCACAGGAGGTCGGAGAGGCCCCAACAGGACGTCCTACTGCCGAAACCCACTCTGTGAGACGGGTCCGAGCGGTGGGCCCGGGCACGCCTCCAGCTCTTCGGTCACAGGCGTCCGGTCCAGGGCTAGGTGAGCCACGCGACCCCCCGGGGGTCACCCCAGGACTCCGAGATGTTGGGGGGGCCGAGGAGTGAAGGGGCTTCCCCTACTCCCCAGGGTCGGCACTAGGAAGGAACTTTTCTTAATCCTTAAAGTATTAACAATTATAATAATAACTAACCTTTGTATAGCACTTAACAGTTTGCCAGGCACAGTGGGCTAAATGCTTTATAATTATCTCATTTGATATACTGTTTCTATAACACGGCCCATTTTTGCCAGCCTCCCCTTCCTCTCACTTAGGACCCTAGGACCTTGGGCTAGTCAGCCTGTGGCTTCGGGGAGGGGTGGGGGGAGGTGATCGCTCTAGGTGGCTGCTTTAGCAGAGGTTTAGGCACTTAACTGTGTGGCCCACGACGGACAGTGGGAGAAGCAGAAGGCTCATGGTGGCATTCACTGCTTTCAGAGAGTTCACAATCTAAAGGATAATAAGTTAAGCGCATTAGGGAGTTGGGGATTAAGTGCATTAAAGAGTGGGAGAATTCTTGAAGAGGCAAAGTTTGAATTGGACTTTTAAGCATAGGTAAGAATTCAGTACACTTAAGAGAAAGAGGGAGTGTGTTATACTAAGCAAAGAGGGAAGGCACAGGAGAGTGGGTGCATAGGGCGTTTTTGAGGGTGCAGATAGTGTTTTAGTGTGCATACCCTTCATTCTTCACCCCTGCAGGGGAGTAATATGAGGTAAAACCAGAAAGGTAGTGGTGCTGTATTGTGGAAAAACTGAAATTTGGACTTTACTGAGTAGAAGGTAAGGGGGCCAGTACAGAGTTTTGAGCAGAGATGATGTGGGCAGATCTGCAAATAAGAAAGCTTATTGTGGCATGGGAAGAACTCTAAAGATGATATTTCAGCCTCCTGGGGGGATGATAATTAATCAACAAGCAGTCCAATAAAGAACCTATCAGTAGGGTGGTAGAAAAATGAATGGGATGATATGTGAGATATGGAAGTGAATTTGAAAAGATTTGGTACCAGATTTGATGTGAGCAGGGGGAAAAGTAAGATGTACTACCAAGGTTTTTAACGTGGCAGAGTGGGTGACTGAATGCTTATACCACAGACAGAAATAGGGAAGTCAGAAGAAGGAGCAAGTTTCAGGATAAAGACTTTTATTTTAGACATATTGAGTTTTCAGGTGCCGGTGGGAGATGTAAGTGGATCTGGCAGTTGGATTATGGACCTCTAGCCCTGAAGACATGTCAGGACTAGATGTCATATAGAAGGCCCCAGTGCATATGAGGGCAACTGGGGAGCACAGTGGAGAGAGCCCTGGGCCCGGAGTTAGGAAGACCTGAGTTCACGTTTGGCCTTAGACACTTACTAGCTGTTTGACCCTGGGAAATCGCTTTGCCTCGGTCTCCTACCAGGGTTATTGTGAGGATCAAATGAGATATTTGTAAAAGTCTGCCATGCAGTAAGTGCTTAATAGATCCATATGGGGGGGGGCAGCAGCTAGGTGGCACAATGGATAGAGCACTGGCCCTGAAGTCAGGAGTACCTGAGTTCAAATCCAGCCTCAGACACATAACACTCACTAGCTGTGTGACTCTGGGCAAGTCACTTAACCCCAACTGCCTCACAAAAAAAAAATTTTTTTTTAAATAGATCCAAATGGGGATAACCCCTTCCCCTGCCTCCCACCCCTTTCCATTTTTCCCCAAGAGACCATGGCTCCCTGGTCACCCTTCCCTAATGTTGACCCCCTCAGGAGCAGCTCAGGCACAGGCCTCTCCAGTCCCCCTCTGGCTACTCAGACAGTGATCCCCCTGCGGCACTGCAAGATCCCGGAGCTGCCTGTCCAGCCGAGCATCCTGTTTGAACTGCAGCTCTTCTTCTGCCACCTTGTAGCTCTCTTT